TACCATTGAAGGCTATATTCTGATGGGACTGAGCTTCCTTCTGTTTAATTCTGTGTCGGTCCTCTGCCGGGTTATTAAAACAAAAGAGAGTGGCAAAATTTATAGCCATATTATTTGTTATTTATTTAAGCTATAAATATGCATATGAAATGAATGAATGCTAGCAGCAGGTTTTTTCCTCGTACCCTGGAGGCTAACGAGTTACGACTTTTGGGGGTTATGATGGAATATTTCTTAAAAAGTAAATATGTCAAGAATACCTTTTAAAAATAACTGACAGGTTGAGTTTATCTTAAGGGTAATCAATAAAGCTACTACAAAAACTAACTATTCGAAATAAAACAAAGGAAGCTTGTTTGATCAAGTGTCAACTTATTTTTTCTATTTATAGTTGATCCTGTTATAAAAATAAGAATGATATATAATACATATGCGAACCTAGATTAACGATATGAAACCATGTTCTATAAATTACAAAAAAATCCCTATAACCTTTCTGGAGTATTGCTGTATAATTACCGTTAATACGTATCCAAGGTATTTTTATCTTCGTTTTTATCTCGTTGCGGTTATTTGGGGTTTTTTCGGTGGGTCTCCAACTGCCGCCGTCCCTTTCGCACAGGCTCTATCTCTTTCTTTCTCTGGCTGCGACTGCCACTGGTTTTTCTGTTATGTTATTTATGTGGTCATAAATTTGCAGCTGAAAGCAAAGCTCCGAGAAAATGGTTCGGGGACAAATAGTTGCACAAACACAGCTCCTTTCCAATGTGTTGTGGATAGTAACAGTTGCACACAGGAAAAAAAGATAATTACTTCAACAATATTTTATATTTAAAAACTTTTTAAACCATAAAATACTTTTAATTTAATTTTTTTTTAGTAAAAGGATTTAACAAGTAAATGCTTTTACATTTATACTTTATTTTTCCCTGTGTATTCCTAAGCCTTGACGCTTCGCTGCCTTTAAGGGCACAATTCAGTTGAGTTGAGTTTATTCCAGTCGAGTCTGGTTGAGTTATACGTGCAAATGAGCATCGGCAAAGCGGCTTAAGGACATTGTCCATGGAACGGGACTTGGCAACAGGAGCTTAGTCCACTGCGCTCCGCTGATTTTGAATGGAAAAGTCTGCCTCTGCCACTTCCCCCTTCCCCTTCCCCTTTTCCTCTTCCCTAATTTCCTGCGTGTGTTACATAATTTACCGTTGCTGCAAACATTTCCGCTGAATTTGAGGCGGACACGCAACCAAGTCGAGGATATTTCTTTATAATCAGCTGGGTGTCATCATAAGGTCATCACGCAATGCCATTGTTGCTCACATCATTTGTCCGCTCAGCTCGGGAATGGAAAGTCAGAAAGTCAACCCCCCGCCAAGGTTCCAAGTCCGAGTCCTGAATCCTTATCGGACACCATGCATCGCGCATAATGTGCACAGGACACGTCAGGATTCTCGAATCTACATGACCAAGTTACCAGCCCAGTTCACACAGAGAAAAAAAATTCAATCCTTTGCGTACTTTCTGCATCGAAAGTGAAAACAAAATATAAAAGAATATGTGATCCTGAAAATTCAATGCAATCCTATCTTCTATCTCTTTTTTAATAAAATAGCTGTTTTATAACACTTTTTTTTCTTTGTGTAAGGGAAGCGAATCGAGTTAGGAGCGAAAATAAAGCAGCGACCGCCGACCAGAGCTTGTAAACAAATTAGGAGCGTATCCTGACCGGAAGTCCAGGCGCAACAAAAAAAATACTGAAACAAAACAGACATGGAACACAAAAAATGGACAGTCAGGATGGTTAACTTTCCCTTTTTTTCGGATATCCTGTTGATACCCTTTTGACACGGGCACAAAAATCAATTTTTGTAGAAAAAAATATAATCATTAACAAAATGTTGAACGTGTTTTTTTATAACTTTTTAGTACACGATTTGCATAGAATCAAAAATAAAGTAAGCAAGCAAATAAAGTTTTATCCTAAGCCAACAAATTTTTCTGACAAAAACATTAATTAATTTACCAGGCAAAAAATATCAACCAAAGGAAGGAGATCAAGTAACTATTTCTCTAAAAATAATTAAATTTATTTGTTCAACTACCATATAATCTCTCATTTAAAGAGTATTATCTTTAACGGTTTTTAAATTTTTCTCTTGATTTTTGCTCATCTCCTTCGTTGTTCCTTTGGTCAACATATTTTGTGTGGTCGTCGGAAATTTGTTTGTCCTGGCCGCGCCTGGAAATCTGTTGGCCTGCTGCGCCTCTTTAAGTTGCAATTAACTTCTTGGCGGCTTTAAGCTGACCGAAGCGAAACCCTCCCCAAAAAAAAAACTGGTAACTCCCATGCCGAGTCTTATGGGTTGAGTGCACGCAACGGTGAAGCACACTTTTTCATTTTAATTGCCCCTGACTATGCCAAACTAATCTACACAAAACGCACCTCCCTTGGGGTGACTTCTATGCCAGCGATATTGTTTCGATATTGTAGTCAGTCATAATTTTGATTGAGAAGGTGAAATTGGTATTTTGTGATATATTGACATTGCCGCTCAACGATGTCGTCTGCTTAGTCACTTGCGGCAATTAGTGGAGTGGACACTTGGATCTACATAGCAATTATGGCTTTTTATGGATAGTGAATGGATGGCTGGAAGGGTTGATTGACGCACTTTCATTTGCGGCAGGTTCACCCACTCCGAGAATACATGGTGTATATTTAGCCCTTCTGCTACTGTAACTGCACCCCCACTCTCGAATAATTTCCATTCTTTGTGCCCAAGCACTTGGCTTCTGCTAACACCAATTTGTTCATTGCTTTTCCGGGCTTCAAATTAAAAACGATGTTTGACAAAAAAAAGAGGAAAATAAAAAACCCAAAACAGGAGATGTGATTAACTAGGGGTTGTACTTATGAGCACAGAAAATACCCTATATAAATCAGGGGATTATAAAGACGACATTGAAAATGAATATATACTAGAAAATCATTAGTAAAATATTGTTAAACAACTTATAAGAAATATTGAATTTCTGTTATCAATTAAGGTAAGGATTTGTTTGTTGTTTGACCTTAAATTGTAGTTATTAATATGGTTTACTATACCACAAAGCATATCCTATTAAGGGGGGAAATACAATTAGAAAATTTTTTTTTCGAAAAATTTTTTTGGCTTAATGTACTCTAAATATATCTGGGAATAAGCCTTTAAAAGCTTAAAGCCGTCCGGTACTTATTTTCAAAGTTATAAGCAATTTAGTGAGGGTGTGTCATATGGCGGACATGCACAAAAGTAAACTTCAAACGCTTCTACTGAAAAGTCGTGTTTTCAAAATCGCCGTGCAATGTACAGGTCAGAGATTTTATTTAAATCGAATGCGGTTTTTTGCATTATGTTTGAAATTAAATTCTCCACACCATGAATATAACGGTTTTTCATATTTGTTTGTTATAACATGTTTTTTTTACAATCAAAGTCAAAAAAAAAGCGTTTTTTTTAATTTTTTTTAACCTCAAATTTTTTAATGGAAAAATAATTTTTTTTAAATTTGCTTTAATTCATGGTGAGCTCTGAACCTTTAAGTTTAAAGCCCAGTTGCTGTTTTTTGTTTAAGTCGTGATCCTGGACCTGGAGACTGCACGGCGCAAAGTCCTTCCCTAAAAACACGACTCCACATTATTGCTCATAAATGGGCTTAATTACAATATTTTTCAAAAAACTTGACTGATTTTTATTGCTCAATAATTACCAAATAACATGCAAAAAGAATCGCTAAGATTCATTTAATACCCTACTTGCAATCCACTCCCAAAGATGGCCCTCATTTCAGGCCTTCTAATTGTATTTCCCCCTTAAGAGTCCAATAAACCTTCCTCTCGAAAACCAGGATATTCCAGGATACTCGCTGCATATTGTCCCCATTTGATTGTGTAACTGTTCAGCGCTGTCGCATTTTATTTCAAGTTGAGTGACTTCAATCTGTCGCCAGAGAAAAAGAGTCTTGAGGCCTTTTATTATTATTATGCTTGTTGTCGTTGTTCGAGTTCTTTCAATTTGGCAAAATAAAAAAAAAAGGAGAGAGAAAAAAAGCAGCGAGGGTCCTGGACAGGGGTTGTGCATATGGCAGCATTAAAAAACCCACACGTACAATGTCCAAAGAAATTAGATGTTGTCGTCGCTGGCGTTGCTTTTCTTTCTTTCTTTGCTGCTGCCACCGTGTGACATACATAATTCCGGGCTAGGTGCAACAGCAAGGACAATCGAAACAATGGCCGGCACGACACATCCGCCTGCCCCCCGCCTGTCCTTGCCACGCCCCCGCCGCCCGCCTTCAGTCGGCAGGACAAAAGGACATTGCGCGATGTCTCAGCGTTGCCGACACTGATGAGTTTTGCCTTTGTTTCGCTCACAAAAACCCCAACCGCCCCCTCTGGACCACGCCCACAAATGATTAAGGCACATTATTTTTGTCGTTTTTAATTTGTGATTTCTTTTTTTCGGGGGAGAGAGAAAGAAATTGCCAGGTCTCCGTTTCATTGTCTGCAGCACTTCAAACGTGAGGGGAAAATGCTGATGCGAGAAATTATAAAATATCACATCTTCTCCATCTCAATAAGGAAATATTTAAGTGCAGACGATCTCGTATTAAAATAAATTGGAAGTACACGACCTAAAAATATATTAAAGTTAATTTGTTATACCCTGGCTAAGGGTGATCTCATTTCAAAATTTCCACATCTCTTCTTATTTTAATGAGATTTTGATGTGGCTTACCATAAAAAGTTTGTATTTTAATCATTAGTGGATTTTTTATTATTTGGACAATTTTTTTCTATTTAATGGAGCAGGGTATTCCTTCCTTGTTTATAGAGTTAATTGCCAACCAAACTATTTCAATCAAACTAATTAAAGCAATTTATCACTCTCCTATTTAAGTATATTGCTTAACTGTTCAATAAACTACAACATATTATACCCACTCCCAATAGTTAAAATCAATTATTTAATTGTTCAATTCTTTATTTCATTTGTTTTAATTTAATTATAATGTTTTTGCACAAAACGTTGATGTCTATAAAAAATACATTAGGTAGTTTATTTGATTTATGCCTTTTTCCCCAATTTTGTTTGTGAGTGTGTTGCTGATAGATGAATCTGCTCAAAGAGCGTTGATTAATTCGATAACTGAGAATTTGCTGTGTGTTTTTGTGAGTGGGTTTGATCCAAGCGTTAAATTAATGTTAATACTTTGCATTAAACATAAGCTACAATGTATGTATAGTTATGTAATATATGTATATATTGGTATAAAATCTATGCGAGTTCGACTTGTTGTGAATGTGTTTTAGCGAATGTGTGAGTGTGAGTGAGATGACGTGAGTGATTAGTAAACTAGTTAAAGTAACCGTTTAAGTTTATATAAATTATAGTAAAAATATTTGTGTGTGTGTGCATTCGATTTTCAAATCATCCTGTTTTTCATCTCTTTGCGAATGTTTCAAGTTCTGTATTTTTGCTCTTTGCTTGCGTTGTATTTTTAATTTTCTTTGAAAATAATATCACTTTGAGAGTTGAGACTTTCAGTTTAAGGATCCATCTGTAGGATATATGTAGCTACAGCCTTAACCTCCCTTGATCTGCGCCTGTGGATTGCTGCTGATGTTATTAGGGACTATTTTGTCCTTAGTGCGACTGTTAATCAGTTTAATAACGACATTCTTTTGGGCCACCTCCGATTTGCTGTACTCATCTACAAACTGTAAAGCAATGCAAAAGATTTACAAATATTAAGAAAGAAGTAATAAGCTTCTAAAAATCAATTAAAAATGTAATAAGATCTCTTAAATTCTATTGGTTTATTTATATAGTTGTTATTTAGTTTAAACCACCTACCGTCAAATCAAAATCCTTGCTGAGGAGCTCCCTAGCCGCTGGATTGTTAAAGGAGACGGTGACCAAAAACGGATAGATCACCGGGTAGAAATGGGTGGACACCTTGGCCAGGTTCTTGAAGATCACCGCAAACTGCTCCGAGATCAACAGGTCCTGATGCCTTCGGTTGTTCACGCAGAAGAAGGCCAACGAGGCGATCAGATCAATGAGCATTGTGGTGCTCTCATTGTTCTTCACACACTGGGCACTCGGCACACTGAAGTTCAGGATGAGGGTCATCACGTCCAGCAGCTTCAGCGACAAAGGGCCCTCCACAGTCAGTGCCTCCTGCAATATACACACAAATATAAAGAAACACATTTAATTGGCAACACACAATGGAAAAAAATAACCGAATCCGAAATCACTGAGCAAATGTTTTAATTAAGTCAAAGCAAATATCAAAGAGTGGCACTTGTTTAGGGCAGGAAATGAAGGGCCAGCACGTCCTGCAAACCAAATGTTTATACTCCTGCCCATAGATATCTTTCTATATATATATATATATTTGTGTGTGTATATATATTTGCCTACTATTTGCATAAGGGAACGAGAGAGCGCTTCTAATTTGTTTGCAGTGGCAGGCCAAAACCCGAAACTCGATTCAACAACTGAGCAAGAGTACGAGCACTAAGCAAATATTTAGCCAAACAATTGACATGCCTGGCTGGCTAGAACAACGCCTCCCCCTCGCTTTTCCGACCCCGGCAGGATATGAGCGAGCGGGCAAGGATTTTCCAGCCGGAAAAAAAAAAAAAAACAGAATTAAAAAACAAGCCAGAACGAGAACGAGAACGAAGTGAAATTGCGTGGGCCTCGGATTGGCTTGGGTTAAACTTGAAAATTTCATTTTACAAAGTCAATATTTACGCAAAAACAAGCGCTGCTCGAAAATTGAGTTTGCTGATTAAAACCAAATCAAATTATTTGCCAAAAATGGAGCAGCCGCCCCGCGCTCTTAAAACTTGATGATGGGCAACAAAAGCAAAAGCAGTGGCAAAAGTAAAGGCAACCGAAAACCCTTATCTATTTTTGTGGTAATTTAAAACAAATAGCTCTAATCCCAGTGCAATTCGGGGGTTGGAGCTTTTGGCATCGGCAACGGCATCGGCAAAGTTTGTCTAGCAAATTAGTTTGTCAAGTGCGTAGACTTGCCTGCCACTGCCAGCCTGCATCTGTTAAATATTGACACGTGCAACAGACGCACACTCGAAAACTCAGATAACCGGATAGGAATACACAGGAAATTAAAACCCAAATGCCACACTCTCCTAAAAAAAATGGTTTTGCAAGTGGCAATAACATTTGGCAAGTGTTTAAAATACAAAGAAGAGTATATTAAATGCATCTATTATAAAAACATTGTGAGTTTTTCTATGGATAATCTTAATATAGAATAGGTGATATAAAACCAATTTTATATTGTATTTAATTTTATATAAATATGGCTTAAGTTCCTTGAAATTCCTAATCTTTATAACTATATTTTCCTAGTGCATTTAAAGATAGATATCCAGGTGGGCTGGATATAACCCCAAGTCGAAACCCCAGGTTAGATCCACGATTGCAGCACTTCGATATTCCGTTTCATTGGCGCGGTTTTTGGCTGCCAACCGAACTCGACTCACCTCATCTCCATCTCCAGTCGGTTTTCGTTTCGCTACGGTTGGCATAAATATTTCAGGGCTCGCCAAGACGAATGTCGACATTTGCCCCAAGTAAAGTGTCAAAATATTTGCGTATGCCACCCATTCCTGTATTTTATCATGACCCCACTTACTCCTCCTCTCAATTTGATGCTTTTCGCCTCGGAATTTTCACAGGTACACGAGTACAGAGCGCAAATGTCATCGCGGTTCAATGGCGTTCGCCTCATGTTGTGTTTGTCATTTGGCGCTGTGTTGTCTGTTAAGCAAATGTCACTCCGCCCGGTGACTCTATGCATTTTCCCCAAACCGCTCCTCTGGAAAATCCCAACCCCCCAACAAAATACACAATTCTCGTGGCTGTCATGACATTTGGCAATATGCAAATCACTCTGGCGAAATTCACTGGCGGATTGCAAGCCGCAGCAATTGCAAAGTTTTAAACGTCTGCACTAACTTTTCCGCCTGGTTTTCCCTCCCTCCGCCGATCCTGTTGTTGTTGCTGCTGCCGATTTTCTCAATTTTCGCCAGGCGATTTCACGTTCGACAAAGTTTAGAAGAGCATAGCAAAGAAAAGCCAAACGCATACACACACCGCCAAAAAAAAACAAGAGCAGAATCAACGGGGAAAAAAAACCGAAGAGGAAAAATTCTAATGAAATTTTCTCTGCGCTTCGCTGCTTGAGCAGGAAAAACCAAGACACATTGAAAACAATATGGGTATTAAATGTTAGTTCTAAGGAAAAAAAAAACGTAAATTCATAGCTGAAATTAACTTTAAACTTACCATAAAAAAAAATGCAAATTTAAAGTTTAAGATAAGAAAATTAAATTCTTCTTAGCTTAAAATTATTATATCATTATTAGTATTGAAAATGTGATAAAAAAGGCTTTCTTATTGAGAGTTAATTGTTTGATTAGTTACTTCTTAAATATTTATGTGAAAATTGCTCTTTTCTGTTTTTTCTAAAAATCTTAACCACTGTAACTTCGTTTTGCCTTAAGGACTGACTGACTTTTTGATTTGTTTAAACTGCGACGCACGACGTCCAACGTCCAACGTCCAACGTCCAACGTTCAACATTCAACGTTTGTCGTTTGTCGTTTGCCTGGGGAAACTGCTAAGAAACCCTATGAATCCTGGAGGAAAGCAAACTCACCTGGAAAGTGTTCACATCCAGCGAGGCCAGGGACACGTAAAGATGAAAAGTCGATGCCGCCAAGGCGGTCGTGCGCGGTGGAATGCATTCACCTGCAAAAACAGAATGAAAACATGGAAACCCAAGAAAAAAGAAGAAAAAAAGAGTGAGAAAATCAGAAGGAAAGAAAGAAAAGCGGATGAGCGGCCACAGCGGATATTCACTCATAAAACATTAGAGGTTTACGGAAAAATCAAAACTAATTTCCGCCTTTGCGAGGAGATCACGTTGCTTTGGTCGTTCGCAAAGTGCATTGAAATCTAATTAGCACCTCTGCACCGCCTCTTTTGAACAATTTTCAATTTTCAGCTACTGTTTTGGATCAGTTGAGACTCACCCATGGGCACAACGCTGCCATAGAGCATCGAAACGGTTCCAAAGAGCTCCGTGGACTTGGCAGCACTCAGTAAACGTGTCGGATCGGCAGGACCTGTCGATAAATGGGAATAAAAACAGAATCGAATTAACAAAGATCCTTTGGTTTGTTTACCCTCAACCAGGTGTGACTTTTGTGAAACAGAAGCCTGCCTTTAGGCTAATAATATGACTCACCTGGCTGGCAAACATCGAGGAATCGGGAAAGGAAGCCCAAGGTGGTCAGCAAACTGAGCATCACACTCTGGTTATCCTCGATGGACTCGCGCACCTTTTGATTGCGACGGGAAAGGATTTCGATTAAGCCCGTGATCACAGCAAAGCTGAAAAGGTAAAATAGATTTCAATTAAATCAGAAAATAAAGCATTAATATAGTAAAACTATGTTGTATAGAAATAATCCCCCTGCAATGAGCGAATTAACTGAAGGATCCTTGTTCACCAAACAATTGTAATGCCCTAAAGCAATACCTTTATATTCAACCTCAATCATTCGGCCATTTTCTTGTTGTGTTTGCCCCGTGGTTTCCCGTGTCCATATGTTGATAGTTACCATTCTACCCTTTCAACTAGCTACCTTTCTGCCTGGTTGGGCAAAGGACATTCCACACTTGTTAATCGCCCGAAGGCGATGCAAGGACACGGGGTAAAATCACGGCTGCCCGACAATAGAATCCCGGCCATGTGTCATATCATTTGAAAGCGATTTTCAATTCATACACAACCCCACTCGAAAACTAGAATTTCTCCGGGGAAATCCCCTCTTCATCCCGAGTAATCAGCGGGCAAATGACATTTCATTTGCTCTCGTGGCAAGGTGTTGCCATTCACATATCGAGGAAAGCGGGAAAGGAGAGGAAGGGGAAGCGGGACTAGTGTCCTGTTTAACCTCCGAGTGAACATTAACATGTCCTTGCTACGACTCCTGATGCTGTTCTGTTCTGTTCTGTTGCCCTGTTGTCATTGTCAGCGCAAATCTGTTTTGATTTTAATCCAGCTTATGTGAGCCCGAAATGCCGAAATGCATGCCCATGGTCCTGCAGGACCTCCTCTGACTGCTGCTTCCCTGCCTTCCTGTCCCTCCCTCTAGTCCCTTGCTCCTGTATTGTTGTTCAGCGAACTGTGCTCTGCTTATTGACGATACACTTAAAAATATATCCCATTAAAAATTAGGGTAAGAAATTAATTAAAATAAAAGTTACCAAAAATGTTGTCTTTTTTTTCTAATATTAATATTGAAGCAATAAGAATGAAACATTATAACTTTTTAAAAGTGGTACGTTTATAAATGGAAACAAAACTCCTTAAAAATTAATTTTAAATATGTAGTTTACTTTAAAATAGATATAACATCCATATTACCTAAAAATGTATAAAAGTAAAAGCTATTTTTTTCAGTGCACAAAAATCCGCTGCTTCTGCTGTTTTATGCTGCCGATTATGCGCCTTAAGTGCCGAAATCAATGCACACAAATGCCCAAATTACAAGCGCGCGTGAAAAGGACATTTTCCACTCTACAAGAAAGGCAACAATTTTCACATCTTCTACAAAAAAAAATTAAATTTTTTCATCACGCCAAGGGGTTGCTACTTTTTTATTCTTGGCAATTGCAACTATTTTGTTTATTAAACAGGAGAGACAGAGCTTCAGTTAAGTAGCGTGTGCATTTGACACTTGTTAAAATATTTGCGCCTGTCCCACACACACACACACACACACACATAAACACACTCTTAAGGGAGGTCCTTGACGATTAAAATGGGGCGGGGCAGAGGGGGGAGGAGAAGGAGAGGGGATGATGTGCCTGCAACTGTCGCGCGTATTTAGCGAACGTGTTTTCACAACTAACAAGGATGTTAATTCTTTTTTTTGCTTGTGCTGCTGCTGCTACTGGGGATTCTTATTTTTATTTCGAGCTTTGCACCAAATGCCTTTTCACACCCGAAAATGTCCTGTCTGGGAGTCCTGGCAGTGGTTTAACCCCCCAACCTCCGACAACGACGGACGACACATCCATTTTGCGCCCTGTGTTGTCGCAGCATTTTATTTTTATTTTGTCGCCATCGCTGCTCCTTTTCGGCTGCTCTGTGTTTATTTTACTGCGCTGACGATTATGTCCTGTCCGGGGAACCCTTGGTCCTGGGAAAGGAAACCTCGGCCACATCCGATACGTCTCTGGATCCCGGGATCTCGGCACCCAGCTCTCCGTTCTCCGTTCTCGTGGTGTTGGCCATTTTGTGTTTGGATTGATGCGACCAACGAACTAAATACTTTCCACAGGCGAAACTCCGGCCAGGACACATGACAAACGATGACAGCTCACTGGCTTTGGCCGGAAAAGCGATGGAAAAGGAGGGGGAAAAGCGGGGAAAAGCAGAGAAAAAGGGATGGCAGAGCCACAGAGTCGGTGGTAAAAGCATCCTTCATGCTTCGTGCTAGCTTTGTGCTTGTTGGTTTAAGAAAATTATTAAGGATATTTTTGTGGTGCTGATGAGTTTGCCGAGTACTTTTTGTCCAGACACCCAAAGGGGATGAAGGAGCGGAGGAGGATGCGGGAAAGAGAGGGGTCCAGATTGACCAACCAGGAGAGCAAACATCGTGTGGGTTTCGCCCTGCGTCCTGCGTCCTGGAGTCCTGCAATCCTGGAGTCCTCGTGTCCGCCTGTCTGCGCTAAGTGTCCTGTGTGCGATGCGAGGCACAAATAGCAAAACAGGAAGCTCAAGTATGTTTACAGTTGACAACGCCAGAAACGCTGTGGGGATATCAGCTTGGGATCACCAGCGATGCGAATTTGGCTTTAATTTCGGTTGTCTATTTTATGTCATTATTGAGATGCAACCCTGCCATTCTGAAAACTAATTTAATTGAAGGAAATGTGGGAATTACATTAAAGTATAAATTGTTTTTTTTATGGAAAGTAAAAGCTGAATCAACTTCATAACATATTAAAATATACTGATCAAAAAAAAAAAAAAAACTTATAATAACAACTAATAACTTTGAAAATTAAAATACTAATTAATTTCATAATAGCAAAATATTTTCATATTTTAAAAAGTATTTCAAATTATGTATTTAGTTGTTCGTACTCTTAATTTTCTTAGTATATATAATAAGCTAGCAGCACATATCTACATATAGAAGAGCGGGACTTTGGGACTCATCCTGGCAAAGGCACGTAGTCCTTGCTGCTTTGTTTGTCTCTCTCTTGTGAGTGAGTGTGTGTGTGTGGGTGTGTGTTTGGGAGCTTTAGTATGTATTTGTGCGTGTGTGTGTGCTGGCGTTTGAGTAATGGACGCTTTTATTTGCGAACAGGACTTCTGGCTGTGTCAAAAGGGGTCAAAATGGATTTTTCGGCTATATAAAAATTACTGCTGGCCGTGTTTGCTTTTTGACGCTGCCACTACTACTTGGTTGTACTGCTCTCATGGTCAACGAAATTCGCCCGAATCCTGCGGCAGGACATTGTCATGGCCTATCAATCACTCGCATATAGAATGTTATAGATCTGTGTATGTTTATGGCTTGCCACTTAAATAGCAGAAATCTGTATGCCATTCATTTGTATTGTAAACATCGGACGTTGAATGAACTCCTTTTGTTGATGATTCGCTTTCGTTTATTATGATAAATCACACAGAAAATGATGAGTGGATTCTGTTTGATAATTTTAGTGTTTGTAATCAGCACTCGCTTAATTGAAAACAAAACATCGAGCAAACGAGATTTATTTGCACAACAATAATTCTCTTCAAATATCTATTACCACAAAAAAAAGGAACAAAAAAATTCGAAATAAAATCAAGGAAGGCGAATGGTTTGGGAAGGACTTGCACTTGAATCTTCAAAAGCTGCTAAATGGATGCAATGTCACAATTCCCGGGATCTCCTCACACACACACATACACACAAACACACACAGACACATTTAACAAATGACACTCGTATTTGCTTACAAACATTTAGCAGCATTTTATGGACGAACGTATCTGAATCTTTTGCTAATCGGTTCTCGCATTTTGAGCACATTTAATGCTAGACGCGTGCTGCTCATTAGCATATGAAAGAATTATATAGCCATTGTCGGCGGGCTTTAAAACAAAATTTGCACTGCACGTGGCATTTCCAGCAAATGGACAGGCGATTAAAAAAATGTTTATGGGATTGGTGGCTAAAAGTTGTCCATGAATTCTCGGACATTTCTATTGGGATCTCTCCTTGTTTTGACAGCTTAAAAAGTTGTCAAACAAATTAAGCAAATTTAATTTAAATCAAAGGTTTATACATGTTATCTTAATGCCTGAACATAAGACTATCGAGTGTTCACTCAATTTGACTAATTGATTTAACTATTTGACAAGCTGAAGGATTTTATTAAGAGAGTTTGTTTTATCCAGTTATAATTAAAATAAAAATATTTTGAGTACATACATTCAACTAAACAAACATATCAAAGAGATAGTAAATAAATTGGGGAAAACTAAATGTATGTATGCAATAAAAAACTTTTATAATACAAAAAAAATCGTATGTTTTTAGTTTACCCAAAAATGTGTTGTCCAATTTTAACCCCAACGCATTCTGTGTTTTCACAACCAAATCTGCTTAGCAGCTTTCGCAGTAATTCAATTTCAACACGAATCATTGAAATTCATCAGATTCAAATTCAGTCAATCAAGTAAAGTCAACAACGGAGGCTGGAAAAATGCCAGCTGGCTGGCATTCTGCCTAGGAAACCATACCCAAAACCGATTCAGATCCAGATTCGGATTCAAATTCAGGTCAGAGGCATGTGCATAAAACTCAACGCCTTGCGGTGCGCCTAAAACAACATTAGGAAATTCGATTTTAGGCGGCAGGCAAAACAAGCCACACATACGACGAATCCTCAGAAAGGTGTTAAATGAAAACTAGACCGGAAAAAAAAGGGGGAAAGCAGGGAAAAGTAGCTGGCAGCTACCCCTTATTTTTCCACAGTTAGCACGAGCCGGAGTTGATTAAAATGCAATTCGGAATTGTTTTCTCTGCTGGTTGTCAGCACTTGATTAAGAGCAACTGTTTCTTTTCCAGAGGGTTAAAACGGTCGCGCCTGCGCCTCGCCATTCTGCATTCTATATTCATATATATATTCTGTATATATCCCCCTCCCGAAAAAAAAGGGAGAATATATCCCGGGGCTACCCGATTCGGGTGTCATGTCAAAACAATGCAACTCATGTCGCAGTTTTCAGGGGTAGCAGTTGGCAGGCAGTCAAACAGCCGGCAAGAGTCGAGGGCTCTGATTGCCCACAAGTGGCTGAGAGGAGCCAAACGACTGAAGCT